TCTCAAGAAGAGGGAGTACATAGGCGGAATCCGGTTGTTTGCAGTTAAACTATTCTTTGGCAAGAGGGACGAAGAAGGAGAGAAAAGCAGAAAAGTCAACCCAAACTTACAGGAAGAAGTAGAAGGCTCATGTTGGCTGACTGAATGATTCATCGCTGTTAATATCTACTGTCTATAAACTACAGAATTTTATGAATAACAGATATGCTTTTAACAAGTAAACGTGACATTTTTATCGATCATCAAACCTAAGCAATGGTGTCAAATTCTCAGGAACCCTGAAACCAGCCTACACACAATCTGTTTCTCATTCTACAGTATACCGAATGCCTCACCTCCGGACGGGCGGTCAAGCATCTCGTATTTTTCGGACCAAGGATACAAATCAGCCCGCTTCCTATCCATCGCGTAATCCAAGAACCGCAACGACGAAAAAATCACGCCACCTACCGTATGAACATGAGTCCCACAGATGAGGAACAGAGTGGGACGCTACAACTGCCCATAACAAAAACCCTATATTTAACCACCTTATGAACACCGAAGCCCTGGCCTATATTTACCTCCTCGAAAATGGTTGAAGTTAAGGCGAATTCACACAGGAGAGAAACTGCAAACAGCTGCTTCCACTTTGGAGGATAAAGTCCAGTATGCAGCGTCGGCGCTGCCAAGAAGGTCAGAAAATGTAGAATATAATTTCCGAACGCTCACTGCGAACGTTCGAACGCAGCGTAGCTGCTAACCATAATTCTATCCATACCGTCATTGAATGGCTAAGAAATTAGGATATTAAAATACAGTTTTCATTCAACTCTCCCACATTATATAATAAAAGACTCAAATTTTGATATCACTTAGACTTAAGTAGATCAAAATCTCCAATGAAGCATGCATGACCAGAAGATTAGTAAATAAAATACTTACATCAGGCAGTTGTGCAAAACAACTAGTCACTGGAGAATCAACCGTAACTTTCCCACCACCGACAATGACTGACATTGCTAAAAGGCAAAACATCAAACAGGAAAACGAACAAAAGAAGTATACAGAAATATTTTCATATAATTAACATATTACGATTTAATCATTGGTTATATATGGACGTATCAGCTTTTTGCTTTCTGCGCGTCAGCCTGACAAACTCGGCAGGTTTAAAAATTGCATTTTTCGTTGAACCTTGCGATAACGAGTAACTTTCCGACAAATATACCTTATTGTCCTGTGACGAAACCTATGCAGGATCTCTGAAGCTATAAAAGATTTGAAAAGCGTATGCAAATGCAAAAGGGAAATAAGTTAAATTTACGACCTAGCAGATAGCATTAAGGAATTTAATAAAAATTTACATTTGGCAAAGAGTCATGAGAACATGGTTATGAAGAGATACACCAATAGTGAAGAGCACATCGCGATTGTTGACTGAAAGGAAAGTGAAGCAAGAACAAACGTTGAAAGATAAACGATTCTCTAGATCTATATCAGGATGTACCTGGAAACTCGTAAAAAAGGAAAAACATAAGAATCTATAAAAACTAACTGATAATACAACCATGACACTTTCACTACAGAGACACCTGATCAAATATTTCTGAAACTGAAAGCTCTTGTCCGCCATGTAACCTGAGGCACAGTTTATAAATTCGACTGAGTGTTTCAGGTGCAGAACGTGGAATAAGGAAAGCAAGGAAAGAAAGGTCAAATACAAAACAGCCAGTTTGATTGAGATCTCGTGAGTCACTGGAAATTCAGTGTACTTCCCAATTTTGGCGAACTCTTCCTATGCAGATATTCTTGAACAGCTGTGAATTCATTACAACACGTACCTTCGCGAAGCAAGGCTTTAAAGGCAATACATGGCAAAAAATTCAAGTTCAGGCACTTAGTGAAGGCCCTAGCGGTTTCGGGCACGTGACCATAACCTAAACATAAAATTCATTATTTCAAAGCAAAATTTAAAATCAAGCTGAATCAAGCGATACCAACCTTAAAGTTATCAGCCATCCAAGAATTCTATTTTTTATGTACAAATGTTCATAGCTTTTGCTGATCTAACGTAACGTCGGAGATCAACGACGGGAAGCTGTGAAACAGCTGGTTCTCACAAAAACTAAAATCCAGGAATTATTTATTTAGTGCACATCAATTTCATGTATTATTCGTACCCTTTAACGCGATTAATCATTACTCGACCGGAAAGACTGACAATTCACAAGATGTTTTTTTCACAAAATCAAACTTGCAATAAAAACGATGGTCGATCAAATGAACAAGAGGGAAAATTGTCGACAATTCTGAAGCCAGTTGGTCATTATGACAATCTGTTTACAGAATTTATGACATTACTTTTAATATGATGATCTGATTGAAATTTAGCATAACGCTTTCAAAAGTAAAAATCGGCTTTCCTTTTTGCTTGCTTCGATAAGTAAACGATCAGCATAAACAAGTGTCACCCGTAAATTAATAAAAACATACTATGGTTGGAAAAATCTCTTCCATAATTAAACAAATACACAAAATAAAACAAATCAATTTAATACTGGCGACTTTTAGATTTACACATTTTGTGCTAATTATCGCACTGGCTAGGTCAACTATCTGATGGATAAACTGCAAACAACGCGGTCTTATGGAGAAATCAGTCTAAAGCGTGCGAGATACAAGTCACTGCGTCAGCCTTGTCATGCATCTCGTCTTGACCATCTGATATGCTAACTAAAACTCATAAACAGATGTCAACTGCATGTTTTAAAAAAAAGTAAATCAGCAGCATTCGAAACGGTTATCATTGTCATAAGTTCATTAGATAGGACTATTACACCTATTATAACCGTGAAATAATCAGCGGGATAGCAGAATTTGTTGAGCTCAACTCCAGTTCAGATTTGTCAACCAACACCGGTATCAGTATAAAGATTTGAACAGCAATCAAGTGAACAAAGGAACCGGTTTGCGCCATGAAAAAACCTTAAGCAATACAGGTGTGGCAACCGGTATTGAACGGATGGAATATATATGTAAAACAGCGTGAAAATTGTTTGCCAGAAATCACTAGGTGTTGACCGAAGACGCTGCCGCAAAAAAACACCTCATTGACCATACAACAAACAACTGACTACGGTCAGCTACCAGTTCTACTTCTTAATGTTGCTATGAACCCTAAGTACCCGTAGGCTTATGAAAATGAAAATAAGTATTTCAACAAGGTAAGATGGAACTGAAACTGCTCAGAACAAACCCGATCAAAAGGTTCAAAACGTTCAGGGTATAAAAATGGTTTATATAGGCGCCGTCATTTTGGCTAAAAGTTTTGCTGGACTATTCTTTTTCTAAATAGATATTTTTTAATGGTATTAAGACAAACATAACCTCTATGATTACCACCACGTGGTTTGATGACCGCTGAGGATTCACAATGGGCTAACTTTATTTAGCTTAGCAAGTAGGCTTGACCACAACAGCACAACTCTTCACAGAAAGTGAACTGAAACACTTCAAGACGTCTGCCCGAATAATCACGATGTTAAAGCAAAGGATGCAGAATCTACCGGCATTATATGGCTAGCAACGAACGAACGATGGGATAGCAAGGAGCAAACAATGTTTAGTATTTAACTGTCGAACACTAAGGTTTGTAATTACCTGCATGTGTGAGATGGGAACAGGGACTCATGTGGACAGCAAATCATAAAAAATCAAAGTTCAACTAGTGACCACATTCTACATTTAGTGACGAGCACTCTCTGAAAACCCATCATCATCCAATCGCCTTTGAAACATATGTTCGCGGCAAACGAGAAATGACAAATGACACGCACATAAGACAAGCACTCACTCAAGGTACGACCAATACTGTGCCAAAAATTTGTGTATTACTAGTTTCGAAACGTTTTCAATAAAAAGTTTTAAAAAACAATAAACAAATATCAAAAATCTGTCACATCACAAAACAAATTAAAACTACAACAACCGATTGTACAAGAATATGCAAATTATCGATGCAGGACTGTGTCATAAACATACCACAAAAATTTATCCTATTTTAATGGCCCTGTACAACGAAAGTGTACTTCATTGTCAATACAACATAACAAAATGTTATTTGGAAGGCAAAGAACGACCTATAAGATATGATTCTTTTTTAGCAATATAATTAAAGAATCAATGCAAATATAGAAAAATCTGCAAGTGTATGTTCTGCAATACTAATATATTGCTCTACACCAAGAACGAAAAATTAGGAAAAAAATTTGCTTTAATCATTTTGGCACTGCTTTTCGCTGCGATGAAACGGACTCTTCTCCGTTTGCTGTGAGGAAAGAAATGACATGCCGTACCTTTCACTTCAAATTTCTTTCTTTTTCCTTCTGTGCGACAAATATCCCGAATTACATCTGTATTTTCTTTAACTACAATCAGTTAAGATGTTAGGTATTGCAATAAAGTGTACAGAATGATAAAATATTTTATCCATAGTGCTCAAATGCCATGGAACAGTAGCCTGCTTTAATGGTCTCCCTAAGAGCCTAGAAGCAAAATAGCGGGGTAGTTGTGTTGCTGTTGTAAAGTGAGAAATCGTATTTTCTTTTTTTACATTGCCCATTTTCGCCGTTTCAGCCCCGTGTCATTATTTTTAATGTGATATTTTTTTCCAGCGGTAACAAAATTCCTTAAGAACATTAGGCTTATATTTTGTCTATATATGGTCTTATGCTCAACTTCTTTAAACATGTTGCAAACACATGAGGGCCGTTTCCATGATCCCATCAAGAAGGTACTACGAGCTGGCTCTCATTCGTCTTGAACAGAGAGCAACATACGTCATTTGATCATACGTTTGAGCATCTCAGGCACTTTCTGTTCCATACGGCAGCCCACAATTATTGCCAGCGACATTCCAGATGCAGCTGTTTCGTACATGTCTAAGTTAGTGCCAGTAGTAAGGAATTGCGCTTATCAGCTTGAATTCAGCAGTTAGTTAAATAGTGCCTGATTGCAAATAATTTATCATCCATGTCTACTTTCATTGCTTAAGTTCCTTTCTAACCCAATATTTCATATCTAAAACGTTGGTGCTTTGCAGAACGTAGTTAAACAAACTTTACATTGATGGAACCGCAAAATAATGGGAAAAATGTGCAGAACTATCTGTTCCAGATAATAAGATTCTAATTGCATGAGGTGCAGGATATTACGAATGCGCGAAGAGATTGCAAAACTTTTAATACATTCTTTCAAATGAACATAAATTCAAGAATCTTCGAGCCGGTTTCAAGCATAGTGAACAGATTAAGTGAATTTTACATATAATTATCAACACATTGTTCGTTTGATTCTTCGCAGGCCGAACATCAAGTTTGAGACGGCTCACTTGAAATTTCTGTAATAAGTTAAAGCCGATGAGT